CAAGTTTCTACTTACACGCAAGGAATGGGACAATCGTAGGTCTTCACACCAGACAACAAGTTTCTACTTACACACAAGGAATGAGACAATCGTAGGTCTTCACACCAGACAACAAGTTTCTACTTACACACAAGGAATGGGACAATCTCAGGTCTTCACACCAGAAAACAAGTTTCTACTTACACACAAGGAATGGGACAATCTCAGGTCTTCACACCAGACAACAAGTTTCTACTTACACACAAGGAATGGGACAATCGTCAGGTCTTCACACCAGAGAACAAGGTTTTCCTTGACTTCGTCCAGGCAGCACACTGAAGGTTATATACAAATAAACATATAACCAACGTACAGTTAATAAGTGTTCTTTACAGCCAAAATATAATATCAGGAAATCTATTACTCCAACCACTGATTGATACAGTGTTTAGTTTTGACATTCAGAACTAATATATGTAACGGTTAACATCAAAATTTACATGTTATCCTTTTACAGTTCTGATGTATACGTATACATCGTGTTCTACATAAGTACCATAAATATATTACACTCGGTACTTTATCACATAGATTAAAGTGATTCATTTGATTAATACATATTTTAATCTATGAAGACTTGTCGTAAACCGTACACCAGCAAACTTTGCTAAATAACTCAAATATCACCTCACATAGAACGTAAGACAATTAAACGAAATAAACCAGTGATAAGGTGGAGGGTATGGTACCAGAAAATGCTAGTTGCTTACACTAGTACACTGTAAAGTATAGATAAGGTTAGTTGCTTACACTAGTACACTGTAAAGTATAGATAAGGTTAGTTGCTTACACTAGTACACTGTAAAGTATAGATAAGGTTAGTTGCTTACACTAGTACACTGTAAAGTATAGATGAGGTTAGTTGCTTACACTAGTACACTAGTAAAGTATAGATGAGGTTAGTTGCTTACACTAGTACACTGTAAAGTATAGATGAGGTTAGTTGCTTACACTAGTACACTGTAAAGTATAGATGAGGTTAGTTGCTTACACTAGTACACTGTAAAGTATAGATAAGGTTAGTTGCTTACACTAGTACACTGTAAAGTATAGATGAGGTTAGTTGCTTACACTAGTACACTGTAAAGTATAGATGAGGGAATCAGAACAAGGTCCACGTCACAAAACTTTATCTGTAGATTCACAAACAAAACAAAATTAATCTTACAGTAATTTGTAACCCCAGATATTAGATTTTACTTCCATGTGATATTGTGGTAAAGATACACCCAGATTTTGATAATATGTAGTATTCTATTAGAAGTCATACCTTTTAGAATATGTCATCAAATGACGGGAACACTTTTTGAGTGCTAGTGTTCTTAATCTTTGAGTACTAGTGTTCTTAATCTTTGAGTGCTAGTGTTCTTAATCTTTGAGTGCTAGTGTTCTTAATCTTTGAGTACTAGTGTTCTTAATCTTTGAGTACTAGTGTTCTTAATCTTTGAGTGCTAGTGTTCTTAATCTTTGAGTGCTAGTGTTCTTAATCTTTGAGTGCTAGTGTTCTTAATCTTTGAGTGCTAGTGTTCTTAATTTGTAAGTATTTTCATCTTTCATTCAGTTTATAATCTTATTTACTATTCTTCTTCACGCGCACTTTCCCTCGCTCTGCCATCGTTTCTAAAGCTGTTTCTTACGTCAAGGATGCAACCCACTTGACAGCCTTCCCTTTTGGAAAGGACAAGCATGTTTGGTGGGACTGGGATTCGAACCCGCGACCCTCAGATTGCGAGTCGAACGCCTTATCCACCAGGCCATGCCGGGCCACGCGCACTTATTAAGACTAATTACACAGTTACTAAGGCCAGTTAAACGAGAGGCACTGATTCCTAAAACAATTATTACACTCATTTACATTTAAGTTAATAAAAGGCACGTTACTGAACGGCTGAATACAAGATATGAAGAAAAACACACAGACATTTGACCTTTTATAAGTTATTCTGATAGCATAATGTTGTACTAGTGTGTGGAACAATTTTTTTTTTAATAGTTTTGAGTTCTTTGAATTTGAAGTTTGCCAGTCAAATCCGTCCTGCAATGTAAGCTTTCCAGCCTGATGCACAAACCACTGCAATATAACATGCTGGTATTGTCTTATCTCGATTCTCATAGAAAGACTTAGTTAACTAAACATCGTATGTGTAAGTTAAAGTTGAAAATTAACGATGAACATAAAGTAGTTGAGAGTTTATAAACATCACATCTAGTGTCATTTCACACAAAAATTATAAAGAATAACACTGTTACAACAGTTGTAAGATATGTTATTTTAGAGCAGTCTGTTTTAAAGTTTCATATTTACCTAATTCACTGAACTACTTATACTTAAAACTCTGTAAATAATGAGTTAGTGTTTGACAGCAGTCAGAAGAACCATTAAGTGTTTGACAGCAGTTAGAAGAACCATTAAGTGTTTGACAGCAGTCGGAAGAACCATTAAGAATACTTATAGTTAAAACTCTGTAAATAATGAGTTAGTGTTTGACAGCAGTCAGAAGAACCATTAAGTGTTTGACAGCAGTTAGAAAAACCATTAAGTGTTTGACAGCAGTCGGAAGAACCATTAAGTGTTTGACAGCAGTCAGAAGAACCATTAAGTGTTTGACAGCAGTCAGAAGAACCATTAAGAATACTTATAGTTAAAACTCTGTAAATAATGAGTTAGTGTTTGACAGCAGTCAGAAGAACCATTAAGTGTTTGACAGCAGTCAGAAGAAATAGTTCATTATACAATCCTTATGTCTATATTTTTCATCTTAGTTGGTACTTATGTTTAATAAGTAAGCTCATTGTTTATTAAAATATAACAAATACTGTTCTTTACTTACTGTCAACAGTTTCCTTAAGGAAGCAAGGTGGTACTTCACAAATATTGTTCTTTATTTACCTTCAACAGTTTCCTTAAGAAAGCAAGGTGGTACTTCATAAATATTGTTCTTTATTTACCGTCAACAGTTTCCTTAAGGAAGCAAGGTGGTACTTCACAAATATTGTTCTTTATTTACCTTCAACAGTTTCCTTAAGAAAGCAAGGTGGTACTTCATAAATATTGTTCTTTACTTACTTTCAACAGTTTCCTTAAGGAAGCAAGGTGGTACTTCACAAATATTGTTCTTTACTTACCGTCAACAGTTTCTTTAAAGAAGCAAGGTGGTACTTCACAAATATTGTTCTTTACTTACCGTCAACAGTTTCTTTAAAGAAGCAAGGTGATACTTCACAAATATTGTTCTTTACTTACCGTCAACAGTTTCTT